GGGAATTGATCCCGCTTTCCTGGATTTCACTGGAAAAGCGATTGGAAGTTTTTGAAAGCAGCTAATTACCTTCTTCTATTTTTTCCCTATTAGTACCTTTTATTTTCAATTTCTCAAACTTTTTTCGTAACACTCAAAAAATGGCAGAATTGGTTGAAAACTTAATGGAAATAAATGAATGAATGAAGAATCTGAAATGTGACTGATAGAATAAAGTTTTTGAATATTGTTCCCATGAAGTGTTTCCACGAAGTAGGTCACGTGGATACTAATATTAATTTAAATGATGCATTTTAGCTTTCTACATTTCCAGAAGATTGGACGTCTCTTACGAGGTCCTTAATAATTAAAACGATAATAAAATTTACGAGGGAAAAGTCTAGTGCTAAGAAAATTTCAAAAAAAGTTATAACCAATGCTAATTCATCCATTAAATTAAAATCAACAAATACCAATGATTTTCTAAAAATCGGCCATATTTTGCATATTATCGTCATTTCAGTCTTCGATCGATTTCAATTTGCATTATGGTCCAAATTTAATTCATTACCGATTCAATACATCAAATTTTGTTGACTTCGATGTTTAGCTTTGCATTATTGAAATTTTAGACTTTTGACTGAAAATCGGTAAAGACAATATTCAAATAAAGTGAAAAATGCAAAATTTCACCAGAAATGATCGAAAATACGTATGAAAGAAGGCGTCAGAAGTGATAGTTACCAACAAATTTGTGGAATTATGAAATTATATTAGACTTTGAATCGGATCTAAAATGGTCAGGGTGCCATTTCAGGATTTTATTTGTGCGGGAAGCGGACAGTAATTTTAAATAAATTTTTTCAGTCATTTCAAATTTTGGTATAATTCGACAATTAATGATTTAATTGTGTGTGCTTGCCAGGAAATGGAACTAGCAAATGTTTAGGGTTTCAGAAATTTTTCGAAACACTTTAATGATTCGAATTTTAGACGAAACGTTATCCAAACTATCTTGCCTAAAAATTTCTTCACCGACAGAATATTCCCTTTTTGCGTATGCTTCAAAAAAACCATTACAAAGTGAGTTTTCCATTTTCTTAAATTCTCTTCCAGAATCGACTGAACATTTCGGGCTTATGAATTTCGTGAGATAATTGGAAGAATGCAAAGATATGTTTAATGCAAAGATATGTTTATGCAAACATAAAGAACCTAAACTGGAAAAAACTAACATCACTGAGAAGGATTACTTTGTTGTTCTGCAGAGAAATCACAGACTAATCCTTCTTTCTTAACAATTTCTCTTATACTGATAAATTTTCTTTTTAAAGTGCTCTGCAGATTTCTACCGATATTATGTGAATTATCTCATTGGGACCGATTTTTTATCCAAATATTTGCAATTTCATCCACCCGTTACGATTAAGCATTCCATCACGACCAAAATTCCTTCCAAACAACAAAGGATAATTTAACTTCTCACTGTAACGGTCGTCCTGTTGCGCACACTTAGAGATTTCAACTTGAGATTCTGATGAAAGGAAGAAAATCATGGTCGAACAATTTAGAGAATTCCAGAAATTCCTGAACAATTAACTTGCTGATAATCGCCATCGGCCAGATTCCCAAATCGCATCTTTTTCTTGAAGGCTCAAAACCTGTTCTCCCATCCAGTTCCCGGATTCCTCATCAACCTTG